CGTTCTTGAATAAGTTTGTTTATATTTATCATTTCAGCATGATTTTTGTTAGAGATTCAAAATAGGTATCAAAGATCAGGAATTAAAGAGCCCAAAGCAGAAAATTATTTTGATAAAATTTTATCATGGAAAAATCGGATCACTTCAGTTAGAGCTCGGAATTTTTTTTTGTAATTTGGCCTCTATATTCTGTTTTATTATTATATGAGGGTTTATTATTGCTTATTTTAGACAAGTTTACAAACGAAGTTAGAGAAATATTACAGGTTTACTAAAAAAGGCCTTTATGGGATAACTGTGTTGTTTTACCACCTTAGGTGTGAATATTGACACCTTTGACTTGCATTTTCAAAACAAAATTTTAGAAAAGGTATTAGTCATCATATGCTTTTTGGTATAAACATCGTTCTCACTCTCATATGACGTCATCAGGAAAAATGGCCGCCATTTTATAAACTCAAATATCTTTTGAAGGAAAAAAGATATTTCAAAAAGTAGATCATAGATCTTCAATCCAGGCAAAAAAAAAAACAGCAAGTCAGAAAATTGATCACAGTGGCACTTTAAAAAGTAAAAAACCTAAAACGATATTATAATGTAAACACTTTGTTTAAGAATCAACACCAATAGCCAACCAATAAAGCAACAAAAAATGAATATATTCTACATTACCTTTTACAGGAACATCTCGTTCACAGCATACTGAGTGCCTTCGCTGACTTTTATCATCCTTCATTGATTTACCTGTAATACATATTTATACAAATAAAATAATAGAAAATCAATAGTTTGAAACATTCAAAATACGACCCTTTGCCAAAATGGCAGCCGAAAATTGAATTGTGTTAAAWTAAAAAAACAATAACAGCACTGGAAAGAGCACCTTAACTTTTAACCCTAAAAGAGATTCATCATGTCAGGTGTTATATCGGCCAAGAAAACTTTAGTTGAAAATTGACAAATTTACAGACGTTTGTATTTCTGGGGGTTAATATAGYRTACAAGTTTTAACCCTCAGACATTCGACATTCAAATGTCTTAACTAAAGTTTTCTTGGCCTATAAAACAGATGCCATAATGAATCATTGTAGGGTYGCTAAAAGTAAAGATGCTCTTTTCAGTGCTGGTATTGGTTTTTCACATAGTTTACTTTGAACTCATTCAAATTTGAGGTCGCCATTTTGGCAAAAGGGTCTAATACAGGGAGTATGGGTAGGAATATCTGAAATCAATAGTTTGAAACAGTCAAAATTGCAGGGACTAGTCTATAGCCATAGGAATCGCTAAAGCTAAGAAGATACTTGTATATAATAAGTATCATCAGGCCTACTCTGGGTCCTTATTCAGCATTAAACTCTCGTTCAATAAACAGATTGCATTGTGGTCTAGATTCAGTATAAGGCATGATGAACAAAAGATGTTCGTACYTAAGCTAGACCAGAATACAACATGTTTATTATCTCATATAGGTCTATGGTAAGGTCTTAATACGTTACCCTTTATACGAGTTACAATAATCAATTATTGGATGAGGTTTTGRTGATAATCGGAATTATCAATGTCGAGGCCAATAACACTTGCCAAGACATTGATAATTTTGGATATCTTTCTTTCTTTCCGATTATATGGAATAGTCCAACCCGAATTCAAGTTTTGAATCGGTTATATTATCTCGAAACCTGAGTCTTCGTATTCTCGGAAAGAATGATAAAATTCAATATTCGAATAATGAAACCACTTATGGGATCTAGGGGGTAAGCTTGAACTGTTTTGGCTGTAATGCTAACAGGGTCAACCCCCAGTTTCTGAACTATAACAATCATCACAACCAACCAATCAAAACAAACAAAATAAAACCATATATAATTTTGAGAAATATATTAATCTTACCTTTTACATCGAAGAGGATAAGATTATAAAGAGCTTCATGGTATTCTTCCTCGTCTATTGTAACCTCCACGTCAATCTCTTCTCCTTTGCTCAGTTCCTTCAATTCTTCCATCTCATTGAGGGATTTTTTCAGTTTTTCTTTCAATGACCCATCCTTGTAGCTCTGCCATAGCCGTTTTACTGATGAAATGCTTGAGACTTTCAAGACGAAAACAATCGAGCCTCTAACAACATCAATTAATTCGGCCGCAAACTCCACAAATGGTTGAAGGTTTAGCAGTCTTTCAGGATTGTTCCCATATATTCTCATAAGGATTGCTCCTGCTATAGTTATTTGAACTCCTCTTGATGAAACCAGAGTCTTCAAATGTATCATTGTACCTGCATGATGTACAGACATTGTATTTACAATAAGAATGTTTTAATCTGGGGCCAGCTGGGACTCATGTAGTCTGTCAAATAGAGCTTTTAATGGCCAGCTTTTGATATTCTAGACCTACCCTGGGTTATTTACATACCCCGCATTAGATAATCTAAGATCACCTAAAATAGACTCTATCATTTTTAAAATTAGATCGCCTTAGACTGCGTTATTTCGCCTACCTTATAGAAGTCATTTATCAATATTTTTAATAAAGTAATAATATAGACAACAACATATGCAATGAGGTATAAGTCACAAACTAATAAATGAATTAATTGTTATCATATAATAATTACCATTGAGTGTTCTCCTGAATATTCCTGAAAGAATGTTAATAAATATATGAGAACCTACATGTATACATGTTTGTATCACAGGCAGTCCAAGCATGTATTGTGTTAGTGTACAATTTAATGTAAGTGTATCTGATCAATCTGCTATGGTCACTAACTCAGGTGTTAGATCATAGCAGCAATATCTTCACAATCTTAACTTTTACTAACAAAATAATAACATGGTCTTTCAAGTCATGATATTTTTTGGTATTGTACAAACTCTCCCTTCCCTCGTCAGCCAATTGAATATTGCTATACAACTGTGAAAGCGTTAGGGAATTGGTGCACATATAATTGATATAATTTACATACTGTGTGTTTAATTTAATGCATCACAGGGAGGAGGTGGGGAGGRATGGGGTTTTCTACAGTGAAAAAAAGAAATGGTCATGGTAACCTTTTCGGGTTCAAATATAGATCTGAGATTTAGTATCTCTGGTACCACTTATTACTTATAATGAGCGTTTGGAACATTTAGGGGTAAAAATTATTAGTTGCCACGACCACTTGAACAGGACTCAGGTACCTTTCAGGGGTCATTCTCAAAATTTCCGATAAGCATCCCCACCTTTTTACATGTATGGGATTTCCCTTCTCCCCCCTCCTCCAGAGATGCATGCAGCTCTTTTTTCATTACTTTGATTCTATTTCCTTGAGAATACAGTATTTTGTCAACGAGGATACCCTTCTGAAGTTGAATATCTAGCTTATAAAACTATCTAGGTTAAAGGTGTTATGATAAACATATTCTATGAATAAGATAAATGGATGGTTACATAATATGGTTCTTGACTGAACTTCTCCTTACATTACCTGCACAATCCGCTTCGTATTCCTCAACTTTTTGCTTCAATTCTTCTAATCCAATCTCCTCAGCTAAGAGTCTTAATAACATCACATCGTTTGCTCTGATAGCACCTTGTTCTTTCAATGCTTCTACAAACTTTTCTACAGTATTGATTTCTTCTCGTTCATTTTCAGTGAGTTCATGGAGAGATGTACGATAACGATCTTTGAGCTCAGCTAGAGTGCCCTTTCCATCTTTGATATAAGCTTGAAGTTGACGGATAGTTTCTACCCTAAGATTGTCGAACAAGAAACACTTTGTCCGGTCTTGAATTTCCATGGTTGCTAAACTTCTTGTGACATCACCTGAACAATCCGCATTGAATTCCTCTAAAGCACTCTCATTTCGTCAGAATTTACGCTAAATAAACATAAAAAGTATAAAGATATGTTCAATTTTTTATTTCATTACGTATCTAACCTGTTTTWTGAAAAGGTAAACCCCCCTAACATGAGCTTGGCTAGGTGGTCAGAATTTCACAGAATTGCTTTCGAAGTGAAGGGTCATTATTGGTTTGGCTCCTTGTGCACGCCCCCCTACCTCCGCCTCCCTAACTCCTATGTTAGCGATCTAGCACTAATGGGTCTCTTACCTTAATATTCTTGTCACTTTTTCAGGTGTGCGTACACTGACCGAGTCTTGGGCCTGCAACAAAAACAAAAAACAAAAGCATTAAAAAACAAAAAACMAAAACCAAAACGAAACAAAGCCTTAAGCCTAGCTTCAAAACTAGGCTTGGCTTTACTTTAYTGATGAATAAAAGAATACAAAAAAGAAAAACTATATAACCTGCATATAGCTAA